TCCTCCTCCTCCTCCTCTCTCCTCCTCTTCTATCTCCTCCTCCTCCCCTTCTCTCCTTCCTCCTCCTCCTCTCCTCCCCCCCCCCTTCCTCCTCCTCCCCACCCCATCCCCTCCACCTCATCCCCTCCCCCTCCTCCTCCTCCTTCCGACCAGAAATCCCATCCACTCACGCCCACCCACGCCCATCCACCCGCCCATCCACCCACGCCCATCCACCCACGCCCATCCACCCACGCCCATCCACCCGAACGAAATAACCTCCTCACGCAGCCTTTCTCATCAGCGGGTGGAAACTGCGCCCAAAAACTGGTCAGGGAGATGCAGCAGACCGCCCATTCCGCCTCCTCCGTGGGTGTCCCTGGGGTGTCCTGGGCGGGATAAGGGGGGGGAGGAGGAGGAGGTGGTCTGGGGATAATAGAATTACTAGAGGAAGAGGAGGGGGAGAAGGGTTAGAAGGGGAGAGAGGGAGAGGAGGGGGGAGAGGAGGGAGAGAAGGGTTAGAAGGGGAGGGGGAGAGGGAGAAGGGTAAGAAGGGGAAGAGGGGAGAGAGGAAGAAGAGAAGAGGAGGGGGAGAAGGGAAGGGGGGGAGGAGAAAGGGAGAGGAAGGGGGAGGGAGAACACTGGAGGAAGGGGGAGGAGAGGGAGAAAGGGAGAGATGAAGGTGGATATAAGGAGGAGAGGGAGATAAGAGAGAGAGAGGGAGAGGAGCTAAGGAGGAGGGGAGGAAGAAGGGAGAGAGGAATAGGGAGGAAGGAGGAAAGAGGAGGTGGAATGGAAGAGAAGAAAGAGGGTAAGGAACAAATAACAAACCATAAAAGAAAGGGGAAGAGAGAAGAGTGATAAAGCCAAGAAAAAGAAAGAAGAAAAAGAACTGGACTATAGAAACAAACCAAAAAAATAAAAAATAAAAAACAAAGGAGGGAGAAGAAGTAGAAGAAGAGAGGAAATGAGAGAAGAAGAAGAAGAGAGGAAATGAGAGAAGAAGAAGACGAAAGGAAATAAGAGAAGAAGAAGAAGAAGAGAGGAAATGAGAGAAGAAGAAGAGAGGAAGAGAAGAAGAAGAGAGAAAGAGAGAAAGAAGAAGAGAAAGGAAATAAGAGAAGAAGAAGAAGAAGAAGAGAAAATGAGAAGAAGAAGAGAGGAAATGAGAGAAGAAGAAGAAGAGAGGAAATGAGAGAAGAAGAAAAATGAAGCGACATAATGACAGTACGGTGCATAGCGAGCATTCTTTCCCAGATGAGAGTCCTGTCGAGGCGATTACGACAGGGAAGAGGCGGAGGAAGGGAGAAAGAGAGGAGGAGGAGGAAGGGAGAAGGGAATGGGGGAAGGGAGATAGGGAGGAGGGGAAGGGGGAAGGGAGGAAGGAATGGGGGAAGGGAGATAGGGAAGAGGGGAAGGGGGAAGGGAGATAGGGAGGAGGAGGAAGGGGCAAGGGAGACAGGAGGGAGAAGGGGAAGGGGTTAGGGAGATAGGGAGGAGGGGTAGGGGGAAGGGAGGAGGGAATGGGGGAAGTAAGGAGGAAAAAATGCTATTCGAGTCACTCTTAATTCTACGGACAAAGGTCTTGCGAGAATTTGTTCATATTCTGGTCTCATTTTCGTCGGGAATTTGTTATTTGGATTTTTTTCGGGATTAGATTCGTTGAAGATTGGTTAGGTTAAGTTTTTTTTTTATCTTTTTATAAGGATACGAAACTCAGTGATTTATTTAGATTTGTTCTTTCATTTAGGGATTTTAGACACCGAAAATTATTTGTGTAGATAGTTCATTTTCAGGACTGTGTGTTATCATATTTTTTATTTTTTATTTTTATTTTAAGGAATGTCACACTCAGTGATATAAACTTCAACTGATATCTACTTCGATACTTTTAATATTTTGAGATATACACCTTATCAGAATGTAAATGGAAATGAAACTAATGTTTTTTTTAATTATTAATTTCTTAATTATTAATAATTTTTTTTATTAATTTTTTTAATTTTTTTAATTTAATGTTTAATTTTTTCTAATTTATATCGCTTTGATGTTCACAGTTTCGAGACGAGCCCATCCAGAAGTGGAGTCCCATGTATTTCGACAAGATCAACGAATACCTCGATCAGAAACGGGTAAGATGGATGGATGATGGATGGGGGGTGGGTGGGTGGATGGATGGTGGGTGGATGTGGGTGGATGGGTGGATGGATGGATGGATGGATGGGTGGTTTGGTGGTGGTGAGTGGATGGTGGGTGGGTGGGTGGTGGTGGATGATGGGTGGGTGGATGGGTGGTGGGTGGATGGATGGGTGGGTGGATGGGTGGACGGGTGGGTGGGTGGGTGGGTGGGTGGGTGGATGGATGGATGGATGGGTGGTGGATGGATGGATGGATGGGTGGGTGGATGGTGGGTGGGTGGATGGATGGATGGGTGGGTGGGTGGATGGGTGGGTGGTGGATGGATGGGTGGGTGGATGGGTGGACGGGTGGTGGGTGGGTGGGTGGATGGATGGATGGATGGGTGGGTGGGTGGGTGGGTGGTGGGGTGGATGGATGGGTGGGTGTGGTGGGTGGTGGATGGGTGGGATGGATGGATGGATGGATGGGTGAATGATGGACGGGTGGGTGGATGGATGGTGGGTGGTGGGTGTGGATGTGGGTGGGTGGGTGGATGGATGGGTGGTGTGGGTGGATGGATGGGTGAGTGGATGGATGGTGGGTGGATGGATGGATGGGTGGGTGGATGATGGATGGATGGATGGGTAGGTGGATGGATGGATGGGTGGACTGATGGATGGATGGGTGGGTGAGTGGATGTATAGATGGGTGGGTGGATGGATGGTTGGGTGGGTGGGTGGATGGGTGGATGGATGGGTGGGTGGGTGGATGGATGGGTGGATGATGGATGGATGGTGTTTGGTGGTGGGTGGATGGATGGGTGGTGGATGGGTGGTGGGTGAGTGGATGGATGGGTGGTGGATGGATGGATGGATGGGTGGATGGGTGGGTGTGGGTGGTGGATGGGTGGGTGGTGGTGGGTGGTGGATGGATGGGTGGGTGGGTGGGTGGTGGGTGGTGGGGTGAGTGGATGGATGGGTGGGTGAGTGGATGGATGGATGGGTGGTGGGTGGGTGGGTGGGTGTTTGGGTGGGTGGGTGGGTGGATGGATGGATGGGTGGACGGGTGGGTGGATGGGTGGATGGATGGGTGGGTGGGTGGGTGGATGGGTGGATGGATGGGTGGGTGGTGGGTGGTGGATGATGGATGGATGGATGGTGGGGTGGATGGGTGGGTGGGTGGTGGGTGATGGATGGGTGGGTGGGTGAGTGGATGGAAGGGTGGGTGTTGGGTGGTGGATGGGTGGGTGAGTGGATGGGTGGGGGGTGGTGGGGTGAGTGGATGGGTGGGTGGGTGGTGGGTGAGTGTGGGTGGGTGGGTGGTGGTGGGTGGTGGGGGGTGGTGTGGTGGTGGGTGGGGGGTGGGTGGTGGATGGGTGGTGGGTGGTGGGTGGTGTGGTGGTGGGTGGGTGGTGGTGGGTGGATGGGTGGTGGTGGGTGAGTGGATGGATGGTGAGTGGATGGATGGGTGGTGGATGGATGGATGGGTGGATGATGGTGTGGGTGATGGGTGGATGGGTGGATGGATGGGTGGGTGGATGGATGGATGGGATGGGTGGATGGGTGTGTGATGATGGAATGATGGGTGGGTGATGATGGGTGGTGGCGTGGATGGATGGGTGGTGGGATGATGGATGGGTGGGTGGATGGATGGGTGGGTGGGTGGATGGGTGGTGGGTGGTGGGTGGATGGATGGATGGATGGATGGATGGATGGATGGATGGGTGGATGGATTGATGGATGGATGGATGGTAGGTGGATGAATGGGTGTAGGGTGGATGGATGGGTGAGGTTATGGACGGATTTATGGATGGATGGATGTATTGATGGATCGGTGGGTGTTGGATGGATTGATGGTTGGTTGGTTGGTTGGTTGGATGGATGGATGGATGGATGGATGGGTGGGTGGATGGATGGATGGGCGGGTAGGTGGGTGGATGGACGGATTTATGGATGGATGGATGTATTAATGGATGGATGGGTGGGTGGGTGGATAGATGAATGGATGGATAAATTCATGCCATATATTGTCTGTGTGCTATGTATATATGTATGAACATACACACGAACATATGTATGTATGTACTGCATGTTTATAAGCAAGTACTGTATGTAAAAATATATGTATATAGTTCTACTGGATATATACCATACGTGCTAAAAAACATATTTTCATCGCACTTTGAAATACAATATAACTACGAGATACTGCAGTGAACGGTTTAAACAGAGTGCATCAGGTAGCTTTTGCCAATAAGATCTGCAATCAGCCCTTATTGTAGCTGTCAAATCACCATCCTCTCAAACGTTTCTTGTGAACTGAAATCAAGTTTCACCTGAATACAGGTCATAGACGAAGGCTTCTTTTTGCATGGTGAAAAATTCTTGCAGATACTTGTCGATAGGATATCTGGGCACTTTAAGTTAGGTTGGTTAGGTTAAATTAGGTTACTGTGACGACTTACCGGTACGTTGTTGTGGGTAAGTTGATGAATATGTTATAGCGACCGGAAATATTAGCTAATAGGATAGTGGTTCTGGCTAAAACACACGGTATAAAAGAATTACAGAGATGGTCGTAGTTATGTCTAATAACCGCTGCCTGTTATTGTTTTTTTCTAATATATATGAAACGTTTGTCCAAGATCCCAGATTTTATGAACGAGTTCATAATGATTGTTCTGTTATCATTCCATTTAATTGCTTTATTTCAGCGCTGTTCATTATGTCACTGTTTGCATTTCGTTCATCAGTCTTTTACATCTAGGAGTGAAGTAGAATGGTTAAGTGTGCTTATAATGTAGATTTATGAGAAGTGCGGTTTTTTGCCCGCATATTTTCATCGGTTTCTGTATCATGATATATTCAAGTTAATGCTGTATCGGAGTGAAATAAGTTCAGAGCTATGGAATTAACCTATTCTGTGATGAAAAATAAATGTATGTCATATATAGAAAGCAACTAATTGATTTGTCTGATTTTTGTGTTTTGACATGGACCTATGCTATTATCGGGAGCAAATTTTTAACGTATCATTATGTATCTCGGTTTAATACTGTAAGGGGTTAATGATTTACTTCCTCTCCTTTTCAATGAAACTTGATTTTTTAGAGTCCGTAAACACAGAAAACTGGTCAACTTTTTTTTTCTTTCTTTTTTTACGAGTCTTTGAGAGCACTCTTTCAAAGCGCGACGCCGCCATCTTGGTTCCGTAACGAATTCTCTGATTTATCTAAATATTGGGCGATAAAACCGGAAATAGTCTGAGGCATGTTCTAAATTGTAGCCCCTCGAAAAGAATCGATGTTGGTATTTACTATAACCTCGCAAATGACCGGTAATGCCATACTCAACTAGTGTGAGTTATAGGCTGTTCGTATAAGCTTCTACACTCGACCATACTAATTACGAAATGCAAAATATAAACAGACAATGCAAAATATCACATGACACCCCCTGTGCATCTGATACCGAAGAATCATAGACCTTCATTAATTATAATCACCATTTAAAAAAAATGACTAAAACAATTAAGATCGAATAGTTACCAAACACCTCTCAAATTTCGAATCGAATTTCCGAACTCTAGCAACTCATGGCAACCAAGTTCCACGAAATTATATGCTAAGATGTTTGTAATGCTTCTTTCACCATACAGACGGGCGCTAGCTGTGGGCGTGAGAACTCCATGTGCGTCTTCCTGAGTGAGACAAACAAGCAGCCTGTGATAGTGCGGTGCTGTGGGGCCCTCCAGTGTCTCTTCACTGGGTCTTCCTACACTTGTACTGACCCCAAGTGAGTTATGACAAGATCTTTAGGTGGGAAATGTCCATCTGTCTCTGTCTGTCTGTCTGTCTGTCTCTCTGTCTCTCTGTCTCTCTGTCTCTCTGTCTCTCTGTCTCTCTGTCTCTCTGTCTCTCTCTCTCTCTCTCTCTCTCTCTCTCTCTCTCTCTCTCTCTCTCTCTCTCTCTCTCTCTCTCTCTCTCTCTCTCTCTCTCTCTTATGGGACAGTTGTAAATGTTGTGGAAGGCTTATGACATTTTCCTTTGCGAGTTTGTAACGTTTGTAGTTGGCAAATGAGACATTTATGGGTATTTGTTTGGGTTATTAAGACAAGGTATTTTATGTGACCATAATTGTGGGTTAAACGGTTGGGATATTACTCTTCTTGGGAAGACGAATAACCAAGGCACACATACACGCGTGTATATGCACATGAGCACATAAATACACATGCAGACACGAACATGCGCACGCACACTCAACACGCAAACACACGCACGCACGCACACGCACACACCTACGCATACGCACACATGCACACACATGCACACACATGCACACACACACACACCACACACACACACACACACATACACACACACATACACACACACACACACACATACACACACACACACACACACACACACACACACACACACACACACACACACACACACACACACACACACACACACACACACACACACACAACACAACACACACACACAACACACACAACACACACACGAACACACACACACACACACACACACACGAACACACACATACACACCACACACCACACACACACACACACACACACACACACACACACACACACACACACACACACACACAAACACATATAACAATAGATCAATAAATGATTAAATAAACATGATGCAATGGAAAATAAATCGTGAATACAGAATACTATGTGTTAAACTGGCAATATGTGAGTATGAACAAGGCAATGCTATGTTAAATGATATTATGTAACTGTTTTTTTATGTATGAATGATGACGAAACAATATATTATACGTATTTGAAGGGTTTATAGCCTTGTGTTAAGACTAAGCAATCGAAGGACTGACACTTCTTGGGTCTGAGCTACTAAGGTTAACCGTAATCAGAACCAGTATTTTGTAAAAAGTGTTTCCGTTACAATATTGATTTTTGTTTAATTCTGAATCTCTCAAAACGACAGGAATAAAAAACCAAGACCTTTATTTTACATGTGAGAAAAGGAAACCTTACCTTGAACATGTGGGCCATTATACCACGTTAATTGATTTCTTTCTTCTCTCGTCAACTCTCTTGCCTCATTATGGTTGTCGTCTGATATGAGATTCTTCATTATTTTGACAAAAATAGCAGTATTTTCTAGAATCATTATCTACTAGATCGCCTCAAGTTTTTCTACTGGAAAGAACCCAGCCATTATCATCATTAGAAACTGATACTACATTTTTTTTTATGAAAAGTTGTTCATGTCCAGATGACAACTTAATACTTGGTAAGTTTGTTGTGTTCTTTTTGAGTAATGTCTTTGGCTGAAGTGTTATAAGACTTAGATAAACCCTGAATGAAGTTTATAAAGAAGAAATGTTCGTATTTGATGCCTATAAATGTAAGCTTATGGTCACTGCCTCGAAAAAGTTTGCGGGAATCAGAATGACTTGAATGTTTTACTTTTTCAACAGAAACACTTGACTTCCAGATAACACACATATGAAGCATACATAAACTGTATATGTATATAGAGGATATGAATATATATACTAATGACTGTCAAATCTCAATGATTCTCCACATCACAGAAAATTAATTCTTCTACCGTTGTTTTATCCTAATAAGGACACAAGCCTATAAAAGTGCAGAGGATAATTTAACCCTGAAATCCCAGCAAATTCAGTTAACAACAGGTTTCTCTGTTTATTACCAATGTATGTGATTTGAATTTCGACAAGGATAACACGAACAATTCACATCCACAAAGATTTTATTTTGGACAAATCTGACTCCAATGTTTAACTTCAGAGGCCCAGTTTTATTGTTAGCATCTATATATCGCTATCCATTAATTATACTTTCCCTCTCTCTCTCTCTTTCTCTCTTCTCTTCTCTCTCTCTCTCTCTCTTCTCTCTCTCTCTCTCTCTCTCTCTCTCTCTCTCTCTCTCTCTCTCTCTCTCTCTCTCTTCTCTCTCTCTCTCTCTCTCTCTCTCTCTCTCTCTCCTCTTCTCTTCTCTTCTCTTCTCTTCTCTCTCTCTCTCTTCTCTCTCTCTCTCTTTCTCTTCTTTTCTCTTCTCTTCTCTTCTCTTCTCTTCTCTTCTCTCTTCATCCTCATCCTCGCCCTCCCCCCCTCCCCCTCCCCCTCCCCCCCTCCCCCCTTCCCCGCCCTCCCTCCCTCCCTCCCTCTCCCTCCTCCCTCTCTCTCTCTCTCTCTCTCTCTCTCTCTCTCTCTCTCTCTCTCTCTCTCTCTCTCTCTCTCTCTCTCTCTCTCTCATTCCCTACCCTTAAAAGCTATAAGTAACTACGCAATTCTCCCTTACAGAACTGTTGGTCTCGGTGAAGCTGTAAACGACAACATGGCAGACTACTGAATGCCGCCCACGAGTCAGAGAAACATGCTTCGGGCCGCCCACGACGAACAGGGGGCTATGTAAGGCGGGGTTTGAAATCCATCGCAATTCTTTTAGATGATTTCGTTCAAGAATTCAGAGTAAAGGTCGATAACGGAAAGGAAAAATGTACGAGAGGAAATAGCTGGTTTGCCATTGTTGTCTTCAGTCAGAGGTTATAAGAAGGAAGAGAAAAGAAAATGTGTTTATGTAATGTAATTATAGTAGTTATTTATGAGTCAACTTAATTGCATCAAATGTCTTTTAATAATGAATGCAACTGTGTTAATTGTTTATGATAATCATTTCTATTATTTTGATGAGTTCTAATCTTTATTATTATGTTATTTTTATTGTTAATGTTAATGGCTTCCCTTCTTGGAATTGACAGCGTTGAAAAATTACTGATATAATTGCATTATTTGCAATAATGCAAGCTTTCAGAATAGCAACATTGATTATGTGCGTATAAAAGAAAACAAATATAGACGAATTATCACAATCAAAACCACAACCTCAAAGTAAAAATTTTAACAACCAATCAAAATAATTGATTTTAACTCTTAACAGTTGCATGATGATACTACTTATGATGAAAATAATAATGAATATTACGACAGTGAAAGAAATCGTGATAATCATTATGAAACAAAGCTAAACGTATATATATATAATGATTAACGAATAAAAGTAACTGTTAGCTATAAAGAACCGTTCTTTTCACAGGACGAATACCTTTCTTTCCTTTTTTCTTTCTAGTTTGAAGGAAATCTTACGTAAATGAAAGTGAAGATGAAAATAACATAGAAATATTTTTTATCAGTAGAATGATACATAACTTTAGGATGGATAAACAAATGCTCTCTCACACATACTTATACCCTCTCTCTCTCTCCCTTTCTCTCTCTCTCTCTCTCTCTCTCTCTCTCTCTCTCTCTCTCTCTCTCTCTCTCTCTCTCTCTCTCTCTCTCTCTCTCTCTCTCTCTCTCTCTCTCTCTCTCTCTCTCTCTCTCTCTCTCTCTCTCACATGAACAGACTCTATAAATGTCATGATAAATGTATGGTGTATTTTGACACTTTTAGGTAAATAGATGTTATTCCATTTTTTCGAGAAAAAAACTATTCCAGAGTGTAACTTTGCCTTTTGATGTGTAGCTTTTAAACAATGGAATTCTTATCATATACTGTTCTTTGTGTTATTCTGTGTACCGGGCGATCTGTACTGAAAATTGGTAAAGCTTATGAACAAATTGGTTATCATTTCTGTTATTGCATCATTGGTATTATTATCATTATCATTTTCATCATTATTGCTATCATTTTTCATATCATGATCAGTATTACAATAGGTATTACTATTAACGTTATCTTTAAAAGTATTAGTAGTATAATCATTGTTTTTTATCATCATTATTAATATTATCACCATCACCATTATGATTATTATTAGGATTATTACTATTTTTATTTTATGATCATTAATATCATTATTAAA